GGGGGGGGGGGGGGGGGGGGGGGCGGGGGGGGGGGGGGGGGGGGGGGGGGGGGGGGGGGGGGGGCCCGGGCCGGGGGCGAGGACTAGGCCTGGGTGGGGAGCGGAGGTGGTTGGAGCTCTGGGACTCGCAGGGACTGTAGCCCGGGCCGCTTGGGGCCTCAGCAGGTGCGGCGGGCTGTGGCTGCGGGCTTCGCCGCGATCCTTCTTCGCAGCGCCATCCGAGGGCCCCTAGGAGCAGAGGCCTGCACTTCCTTGTCGCGCCCCAGGCAGCTGCGGCGCAGCTCCGGTCGGGCCCGAGGGTGATCGGCAGCGAGCCCCGCGAGCCCCGGTGGCCTGGGAGAGCGAGGGGCGGTGCGAGGCCGGGGGCGGGGCGGAGCGGGTGGGGCAGAGCTCGGGCTGCCAGGATGCTGCGTCTCTGGAGACGGGGAGGTTGGCAACCAATGCCCTCATCCCACCCTGGGACCCTTATGCCTCTAACTCTTGTTTCTTTCTGGATACTGCAGTGGCATCTTTCTTACCTTGTCCATTTTCCGGGCTCGAGATCTTCCTTCCGGAGCCATGTCAGAAGGAGTGGACTTGATTGATATATATGCTGACGAGGAGTTCAATCAGGTGAGGGGTCATCGGGAGCATTGGTATTTTCCTGTACCAGCTGAGGAATCACTTGCACCAAACTTGCAGTGGTTCCAGGCTGTGTCAGTCCATGAAGATTTTATAGGCCTAAACACCCCTCTGTCAGATCTAAAATTTTCCCTCTAGCACAGACTTCCAAGATTTCTGACCGTTCTGCTTTATGTTAACTTAAGCCTCCAGGCTTGATTTTAAAAACTTTGATTTAAGAGTAAATAAAAATTAGATTTAATAGAGTGATGAATCAACCTGTGGAACTTGCTCCCCCAGGAAGCCAAAGTTGGATGTCAGTCTCTTCGAAGACTAACCAAAATTAAAAATCAGAATTAGGTTTGCTATAGTATTCATGAGGACGATGTTAATACCTATTCCTTTGAGATTCTCACAAACTGCCCCTGGAGAAATGTAGTCTCCTCCCCCATAAGGCAGTGAGAGGCTCAGTATAAAAGATAGCTTTAACGTTTAACTTCAGCTGCATTCCAGTTGTTTTCTATCTTCCTTCCTTTCAGAAGTAGCTTGACTTCAAGCTTGAGAAGTAAATTTTATTGATGGATCTACTTGTTTGGTGGGGGGAGGTAAAGGTGTTGGACAAACCGGTTATGAAGCAGATACAGACCCAGTCACATGCTCTAAGTTGGATTTGTTGGTCTCTATATATGTCAAGAAATATGATCCAGTAATCTCCTTTGAAACAATAATCTCATATACAGTTCAGTTCTGAGCTCTTGAGGTCAAATCTCAAGAGTGTTCCAAAATCTCTATTTAAAACTTACTAATATGTTGCCTGGATTATTTTCAGCACTGTTCTACTCAAGTAAGCTGGTTCTTCCTGTTGGCATCTTTTAATGGCTACATGTAAGGACCTGGAAAGAGGATTAAAAAAACAGTCTAGGGAAGGAAAGTGCTCTGATTGGACCCTGACTTTGATATGAAGCAACAGAAGAGGTTGATATATGCCATTTCTTTCACTAAACATAAGTTAGTCATTTTCCCATGTCTTCTCAGGCAAACTGAAGTCATGTACATGTGGCTGCTGATTAACTTAAATACATGAAGATTTTTCTTTAAATTTCAAACAAGTCATAATTATTTCGGGATGAAAAGAAAGGTTTAGAATATTTAGTTACAAACCATTGTTTTCCTGAGTTTTTCATATTACTTTGAATCAGACTTACTTTTTACTTTTTTTGTTAGTACTAGATAGCAAGAAAACAAGGCTCCCTTAGTTGTTTTCACTTACTAATTTTAAAAACTTCTTTTCCCCTAATTTCCTTATCTGTGGGTTGGTAACAGTGCTGCTGATTCACTTTGGGAAATGGGTAGAACAGGGTCCTTGACCACAGGGACATTTGGTCTGAGAAGTGAGATTCCATAATTTCTTAAGCAATGCAGCTTGTAGGTCATAGACAAGACATAGGCCTCATCCAATGGTCACTGCTTTGTCAAGGTAGAAGTCATTGGCCTCAACAATTTGTTCTCTGGTCTCTTTAGTTAAACAGGACTTTTTATGGGTCTAAGATAGGCCAAAGATGGTGTGTGAAATCAAGTAGACATTTATATCAAATGGACAGTATTTGATACTTAGTAAGTTGAAAAAAGTATAGATTTTGAATGTCTTATGTCTAGGGGAAGGTCAGGGGAGGGGTGCTTTTTTCCCCACAAGTGAGTTAATTTTTAGCAAAGCTGGTTTTAGTATATCCTGGAGGCTGCTAAGGAAGTGGTAAAAGCTCTGTTTGGCTGGGATTGTTAGAAGCAAGCTTAGACTGAAGGCAGCGAGTACACATTGTGTTATAAGAATGTTATTGGTTCACCCCAAGCTTACCCATGCACGAGAACCTTGTCACGTGTACTTTGCTCCCCAGAGAAGATGAGCACTGTTCCTAGATGGAACCCCATCGTGCTGACTCCTGGATCTCTTAAAACATGTGCTGCAAAAGCCTCTTTTGCAGAGCTACTTGACTCCTTTTACAGTTGGAATCTTAGGGTTCACAGCTGCTCTCTTAGGCTGGGGAGAACAACTAGAAAAGAGACTGAGAGCTGCCATCCTGCTGAGTGTTTTGTCTCTGTTCTGTTCCTTATGCACAGACAGGCACTTTGCTCAATATGCTTAGTTTTCCTCATTTTTATCAACAAGTATTTATTGAGCTACTTCTGTTTGCTGGGCACTGTGTTAGAAGTAGTGAGATAAAAGGAAAAAATGGATTTCTTTGCTCAAAAGAGGTTCCATTCCTGGTGGTTGAGAGCAGTGGACAGTGACGGAAGGAGAGTGTGAGGTGAGAACTGTGGAAATGGTAATTACAAAGCCAAAAACTGAGTTTTCGTTACAGTTAAAATTATATCAAATGGGTTGCTTTGAGAAAAATAAATCCTAAGCTTTATTATTCCCCTTAGATATCAGGAAAAGGGCTGGCAGGTAGGAACATTGAGCAGACAGGTGGGGAAGTTCTCATTTAAATTCATAATCATGCAAGTTCTCTTTTGTAAACCAAGAGGCTTCATGAGACAACCACAGTTATTCCTATGCTGTTAAATGCAAAATTGTCCCTGGTATTAGTTCAGTATTAAATAGATACTTCTTTTTTAATCTCTCTGAAATGAATCCCTCCACATCCATGCCTGTAAAACGTATTTTTCACTTAATTTGTAGAATTAGATTTTTCTTTAACTGCATAAAACACCAGCTCATTTGGTAATCTGAAAGACCTCAGGCCCTATCTGTTTTTCTGTCTTAGCAACTGAAGAGTAAAGTGACTGATGTTGCTAGCAGATTTAAATCCAAACACAACTTGATACGTTGTTTCTTCAATAAAATCTTCAACAGAATCCTCAACAGGTCTGCCTGTGCATCAGAATAGTTCCCACAAACTTCTTTGAACTGAGGCTCTGTGGCACAGAGAGACCATTTGAATCTTGTGACAGTTTTGCGTTCATTGAATCCTTTTGTGTTTCTTAAAGTGGTAAGGTAATCCATCCACCAGGGTCTTCCAGGGTTGAGTCTGTCGTATTCTCTAAGGAACCCTGAAAGAGCAGATTGTTTGCCAAGGCTTACAGTATGGGGGGTTTCCTGGTGATACGTTTGATGTCTGAGCTGCCCGAGTCTGCATGTTCTCTACCCAATTATCAGCAATAATTTTTGTGTTACAACTTTTAGACACACATCTCTGAATCACAGATACTACATGGAAGGAATTCCAGTTTGGTTCCACTGACCATCCAAGATGGTGTGTTTCCTTATTCCGTTTAAGTTCCATTTCACAGTCCTTGATTTATCTTAAAAACAAGGAGGCAGCCTGGTGTGAAGCGTGAAGCAGTGTTGTCTCAGGGTTAGAGCTGGAGAAGACGGAGTGGTTTCTAAGCCCTTCTCTACGTGAACCGCAAGGGCAGAGCATACCTAGTACGTGAATAAAGAAATAAGTGGTTTGCCTAGAGTTAGGATTGTTTGCGATGTAAGGCTGTGAAATATTTTACACATAAAATGTTGAGCTATTAGCCACAGCTTTCTTCACCTTTTTATTTATTATCCACCCTTTGCTCTCCAATGTTAGCTTCTCCCCGTCCTTCGCATACCCATCCTTTTTTATGCAAGGTCCTTATTTATAGGTTTGACTACCTAAAATAGTTTTCCTATGCTTATTTGCCTCACTGATTCCTTTTCTTGCTTTTAAGTTGCCCCTAAAAAGTGTACTCCCTTTTGCCATTCTCTTTGCCATTCTCTTTACAGGCTTCAAACTCCTCTCCTATGGGGCTTGTTAAGAGTATTTGTAATATTTGAAGCTATTTACATGCCTTAGGAAGTAGAATCCTTTCCCCCTCAATACCAGAGCAATCCAATAGTATCACCATGGTGTGCGTGCTCTTCCCTGGTACTTCAGATAAACTGAGAAACTAAAAGATTGTTTCCCAAAGTTTCTGGTGGTATGTAGGTCCAAGAATGCATTTTGTAGTTAGTCTCTTCTCTAGTCGAAGTTCAGGATCGGCAGTTCTTGTGATGGTATTGAAGGGAGAAAGTTACTGGAGCTTCCTGTCCTGAGTTGCATTAGGGGAAATGATTCTCCTTCAGGCAATTAAACAAGTTACTTAATACAGGTTCTTTTATTCCCTTAGTATAGGCTCTTTCTTTCTTCTTGTTTTTAAAAGACAGCAATGACATGAATGAGCTATAGTTTCCCTAAGACACCCTGAACGTCTCCGAGCTATAGTTTCCCTAAAACACTCCGAACGTCTCCCTGTACTCTCATTTTGGCAGTATCCTCTTTAGCACTGTTTGGATGTTTTAGAATGTTACCTGAAAATATACTTGTCTGATCCTTAAAATAAAAAGATCCTCTCTGAGATAATGACATTGCAAAATCTGAAACATTAAGGTCCCTTAGTAGTAGTTCTTTTGATTTTAGGAACTTTTGTATAAGTGTTAGCTTGGGCTGCTGTAACAAAATAACAAAGACTGGGTGGCTTATAAACAAATGTATTTCTCACAGTTCTAGAGGCTGGAAAACTGAGATCAGGTTCATGTTCTGGTGATCAGCCTCTCTCAGTTGCAGACTGCCAACTTGTATCCTCACATCATGCAGAGCACAGCAGAGCAAGCAAGCTCTCTTGATTCTTATAAGGGCACTAATCCCTTTCATGGGCTCTACCCTCAAGACCTCATCTCATCTTAATTACCTCCTGAAGGCCCTACCTCCTAATACCATCACATTGGGGAGTAGGGTTTCAGTGTATGTAGGGGGGAATCAAACATTGAGTCCATAACAGTAATATATCACATAGGCAAAAAGTATATTTTGCCTATCTTGCAGAATTCACGTTCATATTTGAAAGCTTTCTATAACACAGCTTATGATATCGGTGCTTGTCCTGTTTCCTGACCTTTATATTTTAGAGAACTTAACTGTTTTTGTGTATCATTGGACATCTCTGGTATTGCTCAAAGATGTCTCATAAATGTCATGGTAATGTATTGGATCTGCGTGTCATTTGAGAAATAGAACTTATAATGGAAAATCCCCCCATTATTCACTTCCCTTTTATTTTATTTTTTATATTTCTTTGATGGTTAATGGAAAGATGGGATTATGTACTATGAGTTTTAGAGCTTCTCTAAATCATTTGTGTAAATCAAAGAGTTTAAACCAATAACTCCCATTCTTTTTTGTGTTTTGGTTCCCACTTTAACATGCTTTTCCCCCGATTTCCATTTCTAAATAAATATACTCCCTTTATTTCCTTCCTTCCTTCCTTCCTCCCTCCCTCCCTCCCTCTCTCTCTCCCTCCCTTCCTCCCTTCCTCCCTCCCTTCCTTCCATTTTTGGCTGCATTGGGTCTTTGTTGCTGCACATGGGCTTTCTCTACTTGCGGCGAGCAGAGGCTACTCTTCGTTGCAGTGCGCGGGCTTCTCATTGCGGCGGTTTCTCTTGTTGGGGAGCACGGGTTCTAGGCAAGCAGGCTTCAGTAGTTGTGGCTCAGAGGCTCTAGAGTGCAGGCTCAGTAGTTGTGGCGCACAGGCTTGCCACCAGGGAAGCCCTACTCTATTTCTTATTAAGTAGAAGAGTAAGTTTTGTGTAACTCTTGATTTTGGAAATAGCATAAGATGTTGAAAACAAATTTTCATTAGTGTATCTTAGATGTGGTCTTGAGAAGCTGGCCACATTGATAGCAGTAGCAGGTGCATCTCTGTGCATTCTTAGTTTGCTTGTTTAATCATCATGTACCTTTTGAGTCTCACAGTTGATTAAAGCTAGAAACACTATAGACTGCTAACAGGGTCTTAGGAGAAACACCTACATACATAAGTATAATTAAGTGTTAAAATTGTTTTACATGGGGAATTTTTTCTTCCTAGTTTCCTAGAGTAGGACAAGGAAGTTTTGTATGTTTTATAAAATATTTGACCGTGGATTGTAAGTAAATTAGAGTAAAATAGGATGGACAAAACAAAAGGTTTTCAAACCCACCTTTGCCAACGCCTCATCTCTTAGGACCCAGAGTTCAACAATACAGATCAGATTGACCTGTATGATGACGTGCTGACAGCCACCTCACAGCCCTCAGATGACAGAAGCAGCAGCACTGAGCCGCCACCTCCTGTTCGCCAGGAGCCATCTCCCAAGCCCAATAACAAGACCCCTGCAATTCTCTACACCTACAGTGGCCTGCGTAATAGGCGAGCTGCTGTCTATGTGGGCAGTTTCTCCTGGGTGAGCATGGGTAACCAAAAAGGCTTGTGGGTGGGCTGGAGGGAGAGCACTGGGAGGTGATGGCATTTTCAGAAACCACTGTTGCACTGTTTTGTGCTCTGATGGGGTTGGATTTCTTTTTCCTGGGATCAGGTTGGATTGATCTCTGAAAGAGAACTATCCTGAGGACGTACTGGTGCCGAAGAAAGCAATGATTAAGTGGGTAGTTGCTTTTTCTGCCATCTTGTTACCGCCCCTGACCCTGGGGCTTTTATGTCTACCAGGGTCATCTGTGGGATGAGATTTCAGAGTGAACACCTTGAACTCTTGGTGGTCATTAGATGGTCCTATGATAATGATGGGTGAGAGGGAGCAAAGACCTTGATAGCTGTAGTACGCTCGGGGTAGGTGGTGATTGTTGTTCTGCAAAAGTTATTGTGTGACATGTTTGGGGGCTGGTGCTGGGAGGTGGTGTTTTCAAATTAAGAAATGTATATACTGAGGGGAAAGTTGCTGTCAGTGATCAACTCTAGCCTATCAGATCTATAACTAAAAGCTGCTAGTAATCACCATTTGAGCTGATGACGAGCCAGCCCAAGTGGCAGTCAAAGTTAAAATAGGTTTTAATTTTCTTAGTCTCAAAGACGGGGATTGGGGCAGGGGTGGGTGGCTTTGGAATTCTGCATGGATGAGGACGATAGGAAAAAGTGCTCTAATTGAAATATTGATGGTGTTCTGGGTTTCCTGTGGGAGGTCATGATTGTGACTAGAATCCTAGGTTTGAGGGAAGGGTTTGGGACATTCTGGGGGAGGGGGGTGTAGCTCTTGACATTTCTTCCTTTTCCATTTTGCCGGCCCCAGTGGACCACAGACCAGCAGCTGATCCAGGTTATTCGCTCTGTAGGAGTCTATGATGTGGTGGAGTTGAAATTTGCAGAGAATCGAGCAAATGGCCAGTCCAAAGGGTGAGGTCTGGATTTGAGAAGCCCCTTTTAGTTTGTAACCATTGGGATGACAGATCTGTACTGTTATTTTGGCCCTGTAATTTAATCCCTCCCACCCCTGGCCCAGTTTACTGCCTTGGTTTTAACAAACCACCTTAGAATGGGGACCTAGCTGCAATGTAGGAGAACATCCATCCATTGAGAGGCAAAGAAAGCTGATTTCTAATTTGAAATAAATAGGAAAATTTTAGCATGACACCTGTTTGTTTTTAGTAGTTTTGTGTGTTTAATATTAGAAAGATAAAAAAAAAAAAATGAGACTTCCCTGGCAGTCCAGTGGTTAAGACTTCGCCTTCCAATGCAGGCAGTGTGGGTTCGATCCCTGGTCTGGGAGCTAAGATCCCACATGCCTCAGGGCCAAAAAACCAAAACATGAAACAGAAGCAATATTGTAAAAATTCAATAAAGACTTTAAAAATGGTCCACATCAAAACAATCTTTAAAAAAATATATATTAGCAAGGTATCCTTGGCTTTACCAGTTTTCACTAAAAGTGGAAGAGAATTTCTGTGTTCCTGTCTTGGTTGTCTAGTAGATTTCACTCGTTTTTAATTTTTCTTCCTTAAGGTATGCTGAGGTGGTGGTAGCCTCTGAAAACTCTGTCCACAAGTTGTTGGAACTTCTGCCAGGAAAAGTTCTTAATGGAGAAAAAGTGGATGTGAGGCCGGCCACCCGCCAGAACCTGTCACAGTTTGAGGCACAGGCTCGGAAACGTGAGTGCGTCCGAGTCCCAAGAGGGGGTACGTGGAGACCATCTGTATGAAGGGGGGAAGTTTGTGGGTTTGTTTTCTGTGGTGTAGGCTTGGCCTACGATGTGGAAGAGTTTGAGAGTGGGTGGTGGTGATTATGGGTGGCAGCATGGCAGTAGGTAAGCCAAAAAACAAGGCTCATGTGCTAGGAGTCAGGTAGGTTCAGGTTATGGCTCAGTTTTGCCACTAACTCATTATGTGACCTTGGGCAGGTCACTTTACTGCTTAGGGCCTACTTCCCCATGTGAACTAGACACGCGACATATAAAGTTCCTGTCAAGTCTAAATTATGTGTTTCTATCTAAAAAATCAAGTGTATAGCAAATGGGCTTAATTGTAAGACTTGTGTCTATAAATTATTAAGAAGCAACCACCATAAAATATAAATATGATACATAAAGATGGCTGTAATCTTGTCGTAAACATACACTGGAAGGGTGTTCTGTAAGGAATCGACCAAGAGGAGTGCTGGAGAGTAAGAATTTAACAGTGTTTCTCCAGCATTGACCAGAGGGGTTGGGTACCCTTTCTATTACCTGCGATTTTAGTTTGCTTGGCAAGTGTTTCCCATTAGTAAAGAAAGTTGCATCATGCTACCTTAGCCTGATGATAGTATGCCTTAAGCTCACCTTATTCCCTTTATTCTGACCCTGTGCTCACCAAGACACCTTCTGATACTAATTTGGTTTCCCAACTAGGCTCTCCTACTGGGAAGAGAATGCGCTGACCAGCCGACACAAGTATTCCAGTCTGCTTGGCAGTTATATTTCTCATTGTAAATTAATAAATTGTCATTCTGGTCTATGAATCAGTCTCTTGTGAGTTTGGATAGTGTGAATCAATCTCCTAGGGTCCAGTCACCCCTGGGTGAACTGTTAAAATCAAGTTTCTGAACCTGCGAAACCTGGGGACCAACCTTGGATTGTCCTGACTTCAGAAGGTGCAGCCACCCTGCAAGGCCCTGCCTGAAACAGTCAACTGCCATTACTTTCCTTTTACTACAGTGGGGGTGTGGCAAAGTTTTCATTACCCACTTTCTGTCACTGCTTAGGTCCTGCTCTCAAAATAGTGCCTTGTATTTATTGATTGGGTAGTCCACTGGGACCTTGGATAGGTTGACTGAAGGTGAAAATGTGGCCACTCAACTCTTGCATAGGAACAACTATGTTCTTATAACTATATTGAGAGCCTAGATGGAAGTGGTGTGAGCTATTGCTCTGGGTTAGAAGGCACATACTTTTCTTCCTTGATAATCTGAATTTTCAAAGTCCATTATGTTTCAGAGTCTTTCTATGATTCACGCCTCTTCTAACTTTCTTAAGATGTATAATTTTACAGCTGCATTGAGCACCTAACAGTCCTGGCACCACCTGGCTGTTTACTCCTTGATGTTACCTTGCTTTGCTTAAGTGATGGTGCTGACTGAGTGGTGTTTTTCTGCGCTGTCATGTTGATGGACTTGGGCTCTGTTAATTCACTGAGTATAGCTGGTTGACTTAGTCTGCTTAACAGTGGTTGCTACTCTTGGGATTTGTGGCCATAGATACAAAAAGAACCCTTGCTAGTGTGGGAACGGTGGCTGGGAAGGTAGCTAACTTTCAGAGGATTACACTTGCTAATACCTCTTCTTTCTTCAGCTTGAGAGAACTCAGGGAAATAGCACGTTGCCATGTGTGTGAGACATGGAAAGCAAGAGAATGCTGTGGTAGGCACTGGTGATATACTATGTTAGAGAAACCAAGGTGGTTGCCCAGGGGATTAATTCCACCTTGTGCTTTCATCAGGAGTTAGTGTTTACTAACAAGTTTTTGTTTAAGGAGCACTCTTCTTTCTCTCCACACTTGTCTCCTAATGGCATCTTTCTACCTCCAAGACTCCCAAGACCATGTGATCACATTCTTCTGTTGGATTCCACATTAACCAGGCTTAGAGTAGACTGTTAAATTGGAAAGAGGGAACAAGTTTAACCAAATGACTTGACGGTGTCAGAGCCATGTTTCCAGCTGTATACAAACATGTTTTGAGCCCCTGTTTTGCACAACACCATACCACCGTTCCACGAAGATGTTCCTAGTAGGCTACCCTGTGGGGTAGAGGGTTTGGGCCATTGAAAAGTAAGGGGAGTTTCCCAGGTTTCAGGCATATTTTGTACCAGGCTTTTGCTAGGAGTCCCTGGTGTCAGCTGTGTGCCATCTGCTCATTCTGTGGGCAGATCTTTCCTTGGCTTGTCTCCCGTGTTTTCTCATTTAACCTCCAGTCTTCTCTCTGTTCTGTGGCTCTTCCCTGTCCCAGTTACCAGTTTGGGTACTTGGATGGAGGAAGTGTTATCCATCCCCTGCCCTTCCCTCCCTTCCCCCAAATTCCCTGGCCAAAGAGCCATGGCAAAGAGAAAATTTCAAGTATATAGCAGGATAAAGAAGGTTAACTATTACTAGTCTAGGGAAAG